ATACTAAAATAGTTTGCTTAAATTACATTCTGGCCTAGAATCTTCTTTCCATTCTTAAAAAGCAGAAAACCCACAGTGTGACTCCAGGCGGCGGAGCAGGGCTTCCGTCAGCGCCACCTCCTGCCTGGCTGGTGACGGAGCCCAGAGCCGGGCCCTGGTATGGAGCGCGGGACCTCTGCGCTACCACAATGTTCTTCAACCTAAAACTGACGTATTTTACAACTAAAAGCAAAGCAGAGAAACCTGAAAAAGACAATGTACTAAATATAATACCGAAAAAAAAAAATCAAAGCCAAGCCACAGTCCTCTTCCATTTCAGAGTATTTGGCCTCGGTCTGCGGAGTGCTATGACTAAGTGCACAAGAAGCGCACGTGTCCGCAGTGGTTTGTGCAGCTTCGCCCGTTCGCTCATCCCCACAGATGAGTGCGGCCCTTACTTTTCCACTCTGCTTCTCATTTTGCAAGAAATGAAACCTTCTCTACCCTTCGACAGCCTGATATAAAAATAAGCTCTCCCTGCGTTTCCTTCCCTTCCTGGATACACCTGACGGCGGCCACTCTCCTCGGATCACCTACAGCGAATACCTCGGTGTTACAGATTGAAGCTTTCTTCAAAAACAACTTCCCCTTTTCTCTTTCTGCCTGAAGGAGTCACTGTACTCTTTCTAGAACAATTACTCTCCTCGACCCAACTTTCAAAAAAGCGTAGGCAGACAGGGGCTCTTCATTATAGTAAAGAAATAAGGTTTTGGACGCACCAAACTCCATTGTATACGCAGACGCCGAAAACAATCAGCCCGTCTGGCTTCTTAATTGTCCGGCTTTTATACAGTTATTGTATTCGATGTTTTCTACTAAAAAAATTTTCTCCTTCAGTGCGGTGGAAACTATATGCTTCCTGTTTGGAAATCTGATTGGCACCACTTGCTCACGGGGGTCTTTCCGGATGCTGGGCTCTGTCCCCCGTGAGATTTTCCACCTGGGACATAAGGGGGAGGCGCGGGCGGGAGCGCCCTGCTCTCCTTTTATGCATGGCTTACCCTGTAAGCGGGGTTTGCATTGCTCGCTGTGCACCTGGCCGGGACTCCCTGTTCTTCTAAGGCTTTTTGTAGTTTTCACAGAAGCATGAACCCAAATACGACCCAGTTATTGCTTCTCCGTGCCCAAGTCGGGGCAGACAGAGCAGGCTGCATGTCTGGCCGGGGGTGGAAGGCAATAAAGCTAAAATCTTTTTAACATTTTCTAGTACAGAGAATGCTGTAAAGCAAATGAAAGGAGACTGTATTTCCTAGCTGAAGAACTGCCTTAGCTATCTCCGCAGGAATGAGCAAAGTGATTCGCTCACCTATCTATCTAGTGATACCGCTGTCCCAGGGAAACAGTAGACCTCAGGAGGACGGGAACCGGGTATAGCAGCCAGCCCCTTGCTAGTAGTTTGGAATCTCTTGGAATTGTTGAGGGTCGGGGAGATAGCTTGGCAGCCTCAGCACCAGCCTGGCAAGAGCAAGGTTCTGAGCGTGATCCTTGGTACCGAATGCCATGCCAGCCCCATAACCCTGGCTGCATTGTACCAGCCCCAAAACTGGTGTGGGGGTGCATGCCTGTAATCCCAGCACTGGGGGGCTGAGACAGAAGGATCACTATGAGTCTGAACTGCATAGTGAGATGCTATATCAAAAAAAAAAAAAAAAGAAAAAAGAAAAAGAAAAGAAAAGAAAAGAAAGAGAAAAAGAAAGGAGAGAGAGAGTGAGAAGAGAGAGACAGTGAGAGAAAGGGTAGTTCCAATAAAAAAGCCAGGTGTGGGGGTCTATGCCTGTAATCCAGGAGGCTGAGGCAGGAGGATTGCTAAGAGTTTGATGCCAACCTGGGCTACTTAGTGAGTTCAAGGCCAGTGAGACCCTGTCTCAAAAAATCCACATGATACTGTTCTCTACCAAGGCAAATCTAATTAAACAGGATATAAAGTTTATGATAAGCTTTAACACCTTTATGACCTTATCTTTAATTTCACAGGAAATGTATATCCTCTTAATTTTTAGGAAAGAAAACAAGCATTTATCACGCCTGCTGTAGATCTGACGCTGTGCTACCCCGAAGCTCTGTGGAGGCTCCAGCATCACCCGTGACCGACAGCCAAGATTTTAGCACGTCATGGGGCAGATCTACGCCTGCTTCTACTGCCGACTTGAGCACTTTGGCAACTCTTCAACTTTCACACAGAGAACTAAAATAAGTAAAATAAAAATAAATCCATTAAGGATTTAATATTACTAATATCATTAGCTTCTTTCTTATAGGAAACTTTGGTGGTGTAAAGTTTTCAATTTTGAAATTTTCCAGATACTAAAGTCACCTTTTTCTACGGTGTGTGTGTGAGCGTGTGAGTGTGTGTGTGTGTGTGTGTGAGCGCGTGAGTGAGTGTGTGTGTGTGTGTGTGTGTGTGTGTGTGTGTGTGGTGCTAGGGATCAATCCCAGGGTGTCCTGCATATTAGGCAAATGCATTACCCTTGAGCTGCATCCTCAGTGCTATCAACAAATGTTTTAAGTTCAAACTATCTTTTTTTTTTTTTTCCCCGCAGAACTGGGGATTGAACCCAGGCCCTTGCATTTGCTAGGGAAGCAATTATCCCACTGAGCCATCTCCTCAGCCCCCCAACTATCTTTATTTGTTTGCTTTTTTTTTTTGAGACAGGGCCTCACCACATAGCCCAGGCTGGCCCCAAATTCATGGTGCATCTCCTGCCTCAGCCTCCCTAGTGCTTGGGTTGCAGGCGTGCACCAGCCTAACTGTGTAATACATGCTAGCTTTAAATTTAATTTATAGCCTGGTATAGTGGCCCATGCCTATAGTCCTAGCACTCTGAGAATAGGAGGATCACAAGTTGGAACCCACCTGGGCAATTCTGTCACTTAGGTCCTGGCTCAGGATAAAACAAATAAAAAAGAATTAAGTAAACAAATGACTAGAAAGAGCTGAGGCTGTAGCTCAGTGTGAAGTTATCAGCTCAAGCCTTATTACTAAAGAAAGTTGTAATTTATGCAGGTACTGAGCTCTCAGGGGAGACTTCAGTCGATTCTGGTCTGTAATACAGAATAGACACAGACAGCTATTTTTATAACTCATATGGTAACTGGTAAGATAGCTCAGCAGTCTAAGCGCCTGCGTAGGCAAGTGCAGGGACTGGAGTTCGATCCCCAGCACCACGTGCTGCACCGGCCCCGCCCCTGGGCGCACTGAGCCACGTCCCAGATCAGGCGAGGTGGCGCACCCCGGTAATCCCAGGGCTCGGGAGCCTGAACACAGGATCACTATGAGCTCGAACTGCATAATGAGACCCTGTACCAAATACATAAATTATTTTTTAAAAGCTCATATAAATTTTCTTTGTGCACTTGTTTTGTATATGAGTTTTTATTTTCCTGATTCTTACTTCAATGTCGTGTGGTAACCGATACCTCTGCATCTCACTGGAAGCTTTCTTCCACAGTGACCTGAAGAACCCAAACACTGCTGAAGCTTGCAATTTAGAAAGGGTTTCCCCGAGAATCAGGGAGGCCCATGTTCGATTCCCAGGCAGTAACAACGGGCTCTGCTTAGAGGCCTCTCTGTCTCCTTGTGTTCTCAGCTGTGTTTGAGAAAGTTGGAAATAAGTGACTTGTGGATCCATGAGGCTCTGCTGTTCCAGGGCTGCCAAGCATTAGATTAATCAAAGCCAAATGGTAGGTTAGTTTCTTTATGTTTTGCACTGTTAATTTTCTACAATTATTAATCAGCTACTGAAGTAATCATTAACCATTCCATTCAAACCGTGTTTTTAGTTTAATACCTGAGCCAACAGCGATCTTGCATGACAAGGCTCAATTTATAACATGTAAGGATTGCTAATCCTGCTAACATGCAAAGCTTGAGGAAAAGGAGGTGTTTCTGTGGGATTTGATCCACAGTTCTGGTGTGCAGGTTGCTGATCGGTGAAGGGGGATCCGAGTCATCAGAAGGGCTGAGCGAAACAGCAAGAAGCACACAGAGTGAGAGAGAGATGAAAGCGAGGAGTTATATACTCTTGAAATTTGAAAGAAAAACAAGAACCAGAAAGACTAATAAAGATAAGAAATCATTTACCAACTTTATTCTTAACCTTTAAGAGAACGATGCATTTCCCATGTCATGTTTAGCTCAGCAGCAGTTTTGTCACCCCTTCCCCTCTGCTGGGAAGGTCCAGGGAGTGGGACACCCTGCGCACAGTGACCACCCAGCCGTTGCTCCCTGGCTGCCTGCCAGGAGAGACCCCCCACCTTTGGGAGAGCTGAGCCTGAGCCGGAAATTGGCCGCCACCTGGCCCAAATCGTTGTGTCTATGTGCCTCATCTTAAACACTTGGGTCTATTTTGCCTCCTTCTGTGACTGATCATTGTATTTTCAGTATAAAATAATGTCCATAGCAGTTGAATTCTTTAAGTCCTCCCACTTCCCAAAAATCAAGCAAAACTGACGCATGGGGGGAGGGATGTGTACCACAGCTCCTGCGGCTTTCCCATCCCTTGGAAGGACATCCGTACTGTCACAGCCAGGGAAGAAGCTCCGGCGAATGGCATCGCACAGGGGCTCCAATCTCCAGCGAACCACGATACACGAATAACCCGGGTATGGAGAAACGAAAACTCGCATTTTCAGGCACCTGGGAGAGGCCAGGAACTCCCCAAGAGCGCTAAGCCGGGTCCTGCATTCTCAAAATGCCCTCATAGCCTTGGAGCTCGCACTGTTATTAAAAAAAAAAAAAAAAAAAAAGCTTAATAACGATGCCTTCCTGCTCCAATGTGGATTTTGTGCTTCCCTAAATACATTAACATCACGAGTATTGAATTACGCGGGGGATCCGCACCACACCGAAACATGCAGCTGTCCCTCGCAATGAGGGCGCCAGGCACAGCGGGTCAGAAGGCAAGGACGGCAGCACCGAGGGGAAGAGAACAGGCTCCCCAAGGCAGGATGGTGGCACTCACCCTCATCTTGGTAGTCTGCCAGCGGGGGGGCATCTGCTGTGAGGCCCGGGCCGAGAGTGCCGCCGTGGTTGTCATCGGAACTGTCTTGTCCACGATCTCCTCCTAAGGGACCAGAAAGAAAACAAGCTCAGCTCTGGACATCTTGACAGAGCTGTCGGTAGGCTCTTCCACTGCGCACACACACACACACACACGCACGCACACACACACACGCACACACACACTTTGCACCTTTTACTTAAACCAGGCCTCTGTTCATTAACCCATGAAAAAACGAACGCTCAAGAGTCACCTTACCTGGACGGGAATTTTCCACTCAAGTAACTCCCAGCAGAGCTAAAGAACTGTCTGGCCACCAGAGAGAAAGGTCTCCGTCCCACTTAGGATGCAGGCAGCTATGTGAATTTGTCCTCATGCATACCTGCCCCCATTCATTCCGAGCTTTACCCCAAGCACCTCGCCCTCCATATTTCCAAAGAAAATAGAAGGCATAACATAGACTCAATCTCCACATGATACAACGTACCAAGATCAATATTCTTTCTTTCTTTGAAAACTAAGAGACATAAGAAAGCACAGAGAACTCAGCCCTTGCTGAATTCTATTTCTATTTAAATCACTACTTGTTTCACAAGCTTAATAAAGTTCTCTTCGTAATTCTAGTTTACAGCTGAGGCAAGCAACCTCCGAGGAATTCTAAAAGCACTAAGAAGGTAATATTTGCTCTGCAAAATGACTTTGATAAAAGGTAATGTATATACAATACCGAATTATGCAATTAAAATAATGCTAATCTCTTTTGGATGTTTTCAGCCTACACTGGATGGCATTCGGGAGAAGTGGCCGGTGATATTATGATACTTTAAAAGGTTCAGACGGAAGATGTTAGCTAATTCAGAAACCGGAAGCAAAGCAAAGTGCCGCAGATGGCTCTCCCTCGAGTCCCCTGAGCAGAGGTACAGGCCGCTGGTAAAAGGGGCACAACAGCTGCTCCACGAAGCCCACGACCGCGGAGAAGGGATTTCCAGCTGCACTGAATGTTCTCCGAGGTCACCACTTCCCAAGGAGATCACCGGCACTCAGCTCAGTAAACAGCGCAGAGTTTTGGCTCTGGCTCGCGACCAGGGAGCTGTGAAAGTGAACGGCCTCCATAGAATCTCTATTGCCTCACTTCAGAGGTTTATTTCCTACAATTAAACCAGAAGGATAGGGAGGGTATAAAATGATAAAACCGAATGGCTGTGGCCTTCCCTGTCTATAAATTACACAGTTCTATCTCGACTCATCTTTGAATGCCTGAAAGTAGACAGACTCCAGAATGGAGTCAAACACCTGCAGGTTAGGGACTTGAGAAATAAACTATAGAGCTTTTTTTTTTTTTTTTTTTCTTTTTTTAAAGAAAAGATGCTTTAAACCTCACACAGAAGCCATAGGCTAACATCAGGAAGAATGCTATCGTCGACTAGTTGACTGATAAGCGTACAAAGCTTATAGTGAGGCTTAAGGCATTGGTGCATAATTTCCATAAGAACCAGACAAATTCTCGGCTTCTAGGCTAAAGTCTAAAATGCTCAAATTTTACATCTGTGTGAATACGCTGAAATTAAATCATCAGCACAATGCAAGGGGATTTCCTGGCTGAAAACCTGAACACGCGTTGCAAGATGGAAATTTTTATTTTGAGCCAAATAGAAACTTAAATTAAAAAAAAAAAAAAAGGTAGTAACGTATTGCCAAGCAAAACCTGACGTGTGTAGCTCATAGACACTGAATGTTACTTATCAACTACCATTACAAGACAAATCTACAACACAAACTCACAACACAACCCAGTCATATTTTCTAGCATTTTAAAAAAGCTTTTGAAGACATCTAGGTTAGGAAGGCTTTTGTTTATTATGTTATATTTTTTAAAATGAACTTTTTTGGAGGGGGGATCTTTTTAGGTCTATACAAGTTTTGCCAAGATAGTACAGAGAGTTCCTATAAACTTTCACCCAATTTTTCCCAGAGTTGTCTTCTTCTATAACTACAGCACATCTTCCAAAACCAAGAAATTACCACTGCTACACCGCTATCCACTGAACAACACGCTTTCCTCGCTTCCCCCGGGGTTTCCCGCAATGCTCATTTTCCACTCCGGGACCGAGCGCAGGGCACCGCGCTGCACCAGCAGCCTCCTTTTGAAAAGTCTGACTCAAAGCATCTACCTGGATTTGGCACCCTATTTACTAATTGCAGGTAGAAAATTAGGTAGAAAAGTCCCTTCCGCGAGATCCTATGGTTATGGGAAACTGTGACCCAAGCGGGGCATCCAACAGCTACCCGGCCCCCCATGCCAGACCATCCCTGTAGAGCAGCGGTGGAGAACCCGTGCCGCAGCCCGCTGTTGGTTATCAGTGACCACTCTGAAAGGTTCGCCATCCCCGCCCTAGCATGCGCGACCAGGAGGGGCTACCACGCAAGGGAGCGCATGAGAGCCCTAGGTCCGTGCTGCAGACTCCTGAGGTGCGGGAAGCCTTGGAAATCCACCACCACTCCAGCGCAATTAGTGGCCCATGATAAAGCTGTTGCTCTAAGTGTTCCTAATGTCCTATCAAGTGGCCTGACTCCCCTGGGCTCCCACTGAACCTGGCCTGTGGCACTGTATAAAGAGACACTCCCGTGTAATTAAAATGATTACAACTACTCAAGATGCATGGGTGAAAAGTTTTATAGAAGAATTAGCAATTACCGTGGCCATTGTGGATTGGCTTAAGTTGAGAACATCATTTTTCCTTAAAAACATAACCAAGCACGTGTACTCCGGACCCAGCTATGACTCTGACAACCGCAGGGCCCAGTGGCTGTGCCTGTGGTCTGGTGGGACCAAGCATAAATGATCCCGAGCTAGAGTGCCAGGCATTTCCACTCGGCAGCTCTACGGTTAGGCCTCCAAACCCCCTCCTTGGAGCGGCTGTGCTCGAAGGAGGTGCGCCCCGCACAGCTCGAAAGGAATCAGTACGTTTCTGTACAGCTAGAACGCCAGCATGCCATGGATCACAACCACTCCCTCCAGCCCGTGCTCGCCGCAGTTCTAACTAGGATCTGGGGGAGCTCTGCCGAGGGGTCCCCTGCTATCCGCTACAGTGTGCTCTTCCGTTGCAGGTGTCACAAGCAGCGGGCGCTCCTCGGTGTACTCAGTGGCAGGCTTTCCACCGGGCAGTGCTGAGGGCCCCATCGGGAAGATTTCTCGACTGTTCCTTTCAGAGAGTCAAACTCCATTTCATTCATGCTCCATAGAGTGATAAGTTGGAAATTTCTGAGGGTTGGAGCAAAAAGATAAAGCAGCTTTGTGTCAGGTGTAAGGTAATTATTTGCCAGGCTTTCTGTGCTATTTGTTTTTATTCCCTGTGTTTTCATTAACAGTTAATGAGCTCGCGCCTTAATTCTGAGACAATGGGTTGGCCACTAGACGTGGCTCTTTTTTTTTTTTTTCCTGCCACAGATTCAACCAGCTGTTAGTACTCCATAAACTTTATGGGGAAGTGAATTAAACTGCTAAAAACTTTCATTTACTAATCCAGTTCCAAATCAAACAGGGGGAAAAGGGGCCCTCATGTTTCCCCTTGTAACTATTTGGATCACAATAAACTCATCGAGTCTTGAACCGCAGGTACCAGTTAGGGATTAAGAGGATGGACAATGACAGTTTTACCCACCCACCCACCCCCAATAAGGGAGAAATGAACGAAGGTAGAAAGCTGTTTAAGAATTTTTTTTAAAACCCTACAAAATATAGGGTGGCAGATAATAGATGAAACATAGATAGGTTTGCTCATCAGACTTTTAAGGGCTCCATGGTTTTGTTTTGTTTTGTTTTGTTTTGTTTTTTTTGGTTAGTTTTAGTTACCTTTCACTTTCCTTTTTATTAACTGTGAGTTATATTCTAAAGACTGCTCAAATTTACAGCGAACCGTTTAGATGATGTGGTTAGAAACTTTCTAAGGTTTGCTGTTACTTCACCATGTATTCTGGATAATATAAGGAAAATGAAATCGAGAGCAACTCACCTACAATTTCTTTTCTTGTGTTTTTGTTGTTGTTGTTGTTGCCCTTACACCGGGACCCACGATTTCCTGCCCTGTTTCATATTTAAAGGTGCGCGAGCCACACACCTCCTGCTTTAAACTAATAAATCCTTACTAAGATGCTACAAATAAAGCTCCATGATCCCAATCCAGCTAGTGTTCATGCTTGACGGCACGAATACTGCCAGAATTTCACGGGCGAATTTAATAGTAATAGTCTGTAGAGCCAAATCATGGAGAGATTAGTGAGACAGCAGCGTATTATTCCTTCTTATAACCATTCACCTGAAGGATCGAATCCCACCCCCAGCCAGAGAACTACATGGGCTACAGACGTGGCCGTGTATGTCAAACGGTACCCACATGTAACTACGCTACAGAGCCCAGGTAAAGGCAGCACCCAAGTTCAAGTTCTGTCCCTACTTCTGTTATAAATTACACGCCATCGCCCCCATGCTCGGGCATGAGAAAATGTATGGTGCTTCCCATGGAACATCTCAGAGCCTTCGCTGAGTCCTAAATATCCATTTGGACTTGGGTGGTTAGTTCCTGTGATTTATCCACGTAGAGTGAAGGTCTCAAATCCTTCTCTGTTCCTTACGGCCTGACTTCCTGTCCATCTTCCCCCCCCCATCCATAATTCAATACATAAATATTCTCTTTTCCCTCAAGGCCTTAGCACTGAGTAGCAATAGTAGCGAATGCCATTAAGGCGACAGAACAAATGACGAGCCAGGTAAAGAAAGTTGCCATTTATCACTCTTTTAAAAAGTTGCTCCAGCCAGATCTTGAATATACAAGAAGCAGACTGAGCCGAAGACCCAGCTTTGCGGCTTGATGGTGCCAGAGTCGTGCCAAGAACGCCAGAGTCCTCAAGAGCCTTCAGAAAGAACGTTTGCCGAGAGCAGCAGTCCCAGTGATCAGAAACACAACCAAACGGATTAGGTGCTCAGAGAACAATTGCTGCAACGCCACCTGTGAATTCAGCTACCCAAAGGCGGCGCGGCTTAATAATATTCTCAAATGAACTAC